ACTGCAGGCTTCTCAAACCAACAAATCCATTATTTAAAAAGGATTTCTAAGAGATGTCCAGAATACATTTTTCTATTGATGCCTAACATGTAAAAGTCTATCACCCTTTAAAGTTGCCAGAAACTCTGCATTACCAGCAACGGTATAGGTGCAACTTTAATGACAGTGGGATTTTTTCAGTTTACAGTTCTCCCTTAAGAAAAGCAGGATAAGAGTTTTAAATTTTGCTCTTCTCATAAAACTCAATTGATTTTAATATCACTTCCACATGATAAAACACTTTCTAGAAAATAAGTAAAAGGAGTCAATTACATAGAATTTCAGGCAACCAGATGGTTTCTATCAATGGTTCCTAAACTATGTTTTGCAAAGTCACAATAAATTGTCTACAGCTGGCCCATTGAACCATGTTATATTTGCAATGTTTTCAGCTGCAAATGCATGGCAATTTGCAAAAAGTTCTGAAAGATAATAGTGATTCATTGCTCAAAGAAACGTGGAAACCCCTGCCTTATCCAATTTGGAACTCTCAAAAAGTATCTCACGGATCATTTTTTCACAAATGTGCTTTGATACAGGCTAAACTGAAATGGCTCCTGCTTTACCAAAGCTAAGATCTTAAGCAAGGTGTTTTTTTTCAGGGAAAAAATATTATCAACTTTTATCTACCACACCATTACATAGTTTACCGTTACTAGATGAACGAGAATGTTTTGGCTTCTTCATTCCTAGAGCTTCCTTCAAATATTCTGGAGTGCTACTAGACACATTAGCTCGCACATGCCCCATGTCAACATCTGATTTCAGGGAATGGCTGATTCCTGCCAACAAAAATGGAACCAAAATCCAAAAATCAGGGGAAATAATGATTAAATGTGAGGATTTCTTCAGAGGGAATGCAACACAGAAAGCTCCAGATGCTGTTAATTATTCCCTCTATAAATTTCAATGCTCAAGACCACATAGTTCCAACCACCCCAAAACATAGCAGTGAAATGACTTCCTGTGTAGCCTATAACCAAACAAATCTATGATTTTAAAATTTATATTTTAAGCTGTCCACAACACTGAATTTTATCCACATATGCAAACAAAGTTTCTATACTAATACCTTGTTTCAGTGATCCCAGCCACATCTGTCTTGGGTGTTTTAGAGCTGCAGTCTCAAGATGTGCACTGCCTGTTCCCTGCAGAGATCTCCAAACTGCAGTAGCTTTTTTAGGATACAATTGTGTGCTAGAGCTGTAGGGAGACTCTAAAACAAAATACAATCTCTCAGCTTGGCCTTAAAAAACTCAAGTTCATAAAAATTCTTTTTTGTGCTCCAAGGTAAAAGTAACAACAACCAGCAACACTTTGAGGACAAATCTTCTTTGAAACATTCACTGCAAGTATAAAAAATAAAGTAAATGGAGCAGTGTAGTAAAAAAAATTAAGTCTCAGAAAAAAAGGACAAAAACCCACATTAAAACTGCAGATGTAATAACATTGTACTTGTAAGGTCAGGTGAAAAAAACCCTAAACCAGAACTGCTTCATCTACAAACACAGGTATCCACTGAATGGTAGGTGGCTCCAGTAATTCTTGATTCTTTCTACACAGCAAATACAACCATTTCTCCATAAAGACAAAAGAAATTCAGAGTGCCTTCCATTAGAAGGGATAACATGAAATGGAAGTAGTTTATGCTGAAGAACCTTCCAAGTTCCTGTGCCCCACAAATCTATCTTGCTCTGCAATAATGGAAGCAGAATAAAAATTTTTTCCACACTTACTTGGTGACTTTGGAGGCTTGTGAAAAATTTTCTTCTTTAACTTCTGAAAGAGAAAAGTGATGTATGTATTTAAAATATCTAATTCTTCAAAGATTTCAGCATACAATCAGAAAATTGGTTTCAATCTCCATTTTGTATGAAGATCATTAGTTCTAATAGCAAAAAATCTTAAGTATATGCAGACTTGCCCACAGCAAAAGGCACCAGAATTAAGGTGGTGCCTAGTAAAGCTTTTATTGCTACAGGCAAAAAGTAGTCTCTATGCTCAGAACACTAATACCTTCCCGATCAGTATATTAAATACAAGCAGCAGCAAATTCAAGATGATTACAGAGCAGAGTTATCTGTAGAACCATTTAGCTAAAGGAAAGACTCAATTCCATTAAAATGCCGTAAAAGGGTTACATAGACCAGTAACTTGATAGAACAGCTAAATGAAGCCAAATATCATTTGCAGCCCCCAGTGCTGACAATTTAGAACCCAGAGGATCGTGAATTACACATGGAATTAAGAGGTGTTTTCAATCAAACTATGTTGCAAGACTTGTTGTCAGCTCTCCTCTCTGTAGGGTGTGTTCTTGACCAGGAGGCAGCACACAGATGAACTGTGTGCAAGAACATGCTGAGAGGCCTCAAAAGGCATTCACCTGCTATTGATACAACTCACCATTTCTGTATCCGATTCACAGGTTATCCCAGACAGGCTGTCATCTCCCTGGGGGACAGAGATATCAACTGTGATATTTGATACTAAGTAATTGGTTATAACCAAATGTCCAGAAAACTTTGTATCCTGTTAACCTCTCAATACAGTTTGAGTGCAACACATTCAAAGGGTAAATGTGTCAACACAGCTGCAACAAACGGCAACATTTGCTCCAACACAAATGTTCTGGGTGAGAGAGCACAAGTCGGTTCAGACTAGAGCCACTGAGACTTGTATGCCCTTCAGTGCACAGCATTAAAACAGCTGAACCTTCAGGTGCCCCATCCACCAAGGTGCTGGTTCTGCTTGAATTTCTCCACCAGGAAGAGTTAAGCACCAACTAATCTGTCTGTCCCCTCTCTCCCTCACTTGTTCCTGCCCTTGCTGTGCTATGGGAACATTCAGGAAACTCAACTGGAGAAGTGACCACACTGTGGGGGAAAAAAAAACCGAAACCAAAGAATTGCAAGTGGTTAATTTTTCCTCAGACTGACTTGACAAGTTTCCCTGCTTCTCAAACATAAACGCAGCCACACCAGAAGGAAATTTCCCACTTCACTTTCAAATTACCCGATTATATGCTGCCCTCACTAAAAGAACATCCCCACTTGCTGCTGGTTCCAAGGTGCTCACAGCTGCTGCACCATTCTTTGGCCAGATGCTGATCTGTCTCTGCAAGGGGCAGGGAAGGTGAAGTAATTTCAAGGACTCTGACGGACCAGGAGCTGGGACTGACAACAGAGCAGGTAAACCAGCTCTTTGTGCTGGCTGAGAGCAAGCAGGCACACATCTCATACACCCTGCCATGGAGTTTTTAATTTCCTGAGGCAATGTTCCTTGCAGCACACTGATTATTTTTCTTATTTTAAGGCCTTTTTATCACCCTGGGAGATCTCTCTACCTCACTGCTGCTATTGCATTAGGAATCAGAGGACGTTGCAGGCACCCAGCCCTGATAGGAGACAGTAAACAAAAATTTCACCAGGATATAAATAACGTGCAAGAGCAAAAACTCTGCAGCCCTTGGAAACCTTCACAGTCCTTTTACTGTGGCAAAACAGGCCCAGCAAAGGCCACCGACCACAGAGAACATGTTTGCTCCCAGCAAAGGGCCCCAAAACCTCCATCCTGCTGTCGGGGGGGGGA